GTCTGGCTTTAATACTTTGTCTTTCTAGTTGTTGCTAAATACCATTCCATTGTGTGGACAGTCCTCATTTTGTTTATCTGTTCTGCTCATGGACATTTGGGTTGTTTCTATTTAGGGCTATTATAAATACTACTGCTTTGAGGGTCGGTGTGCAAGTTTTTGTGTGGACATGTTTTCCATCCTCTTGGGTATTGTCCTGACTGGTCTTCATTGCCATCATGGCGGGATTAGACTTACCGAAGAAGCACACTTCTGGGTGTGTCTATGAGGGTGTTTTCAGAACAGTTTTAACTAGGAGGGAATATCTATCCTGAAAGCGCACAGCACCATCCCATAAGCTGGAGTCTCAGCCTGAATAAACAGGCGGAAGCAGGCGGAGCACAGCCTTCACCTCTTCTGCTGCTTCCCTATAGATGAAGAAGTGTAATGACCTGCCTCACATTCCTCCCTCGGTTATATGCTGTCAATCCCAGCAACAAGAAAACTAAGGCTTGTGAGAATACAGCCAGAGCTGGCAACCTGCAGCCTGGAAGAGAGCCCTCACCAGAGCCTAACCATGCTGGGACTCCCATCGCTGATTTTCATACATTCCATACACCACACAACATTGAGGAATGCATATGTTTAAGCCACCTTCTCTTTCTTTCATTACATTCCCATATTTCCCTCCCTCCCTCTGTGTGTGTGTGTGTGTGTGTGTGTGTGTGTGTGTACATGTCGTGGTACCTGGGGAGATCAGCAGACAACTTGTGGGACTTGTTTCTCTCAACCACCTGTGTTCTGGGGTTGGGAGTCAGGTGGGCAGGCTTGGTACACCAAGTGCCTTTACTCATAGAGCCATCTTGATGCTTGTAGTTGCTCATCTCTTATCTCTTTGTTACAGCTGCCCAGATGGACTTTGAACCTGATGAGGTCAGAGTCCATCCCAGCAAGGTTTCTTCAGAGTGTTTAATCACCTCTTGTTTGTGACCCTGGTAGCTATAAACAGGCAATGTCTAGGCCTAGAGTCCTTCCTTTCTAGAGAACATTATGTAACTTTCTTTGGGAACTGAAGAAAATGGAGTGTCTTTATGAGAACTCTAAGATCTCAGCCACTGCCCACAGAAGTTCAGGGTGACTCACTGTGGTGCTTGGAATGAGACTGTCCCCCACAGGCTCAAGTATTTGAACACCCATTCTCGAGTTGGTGGTGCTGTTTGGGGTGTGTGTGAGGTATGGTGTTGCTGGAGGAAGCATGTCTTTTGGGGCAGGCTTTGTGATTAAAGGTCTCTGCCACTTTCAGTTTTGCCTCTCAGCTTCCTGCTAGTGTTTGAAGATGTGAGCTCTGTTCTTGCTGCCATACCTGTAGCTTGCCGCCATGCTCCCCACCATGGTGCTTTCCAATCTCTCAGAAACTGTAGACCTAAATTCTATAAGTTGCCTTGGTCATGGCTTTTTATCACAGTGATAGAAAAATAACCAATACACCCACTGAATCAGTGCCTGGTGGGCTGTTTCGGCTCTGGATGCCTTTGTCTGCTGCTCACAGTCAGCTGTGCTATATACACCACCCTCTGGGCAGCTGTGGAGGATTTACAAGATTCTTTTATACCTCTAAATGGCTTGCAGATCATGTTGACATTAATACATTAATACTATGTGAATTAGTGAAGGAGGAGCTCATTTTCAAAGATATTTATTGATTATATATACAGTATTCTGCCTGTATGTATGCCTATAGGCCAGAAGAGGACACCAGATCCATCACAAATGGTTGTGAGCCACCATGTGGTTGCTGGGAATTGAACTCAGGATCTTTGGAAGAGCAGGTAGTGCTCTTAACTTCTTAACTATCTAAGAGTAGTGCTAAGCTATCTCTCCAGTCCCCAGGGAGCTCATTTTAAAGAAGGCGACTTTTAATTTAAAATTTGAGATATTCTGTTGAGAAGATGTGTGTGTGTGGGTAGAGTCCATGAAGATTGGCTTGATCTCTATGAGTTCCTATGTGTAGTATCAGTTAAGAGTGGTGGGGCATAGTGAGCAAAACGATGGATTCTAGTAGTGCGCTAAGGCTAGAGTGTAATCTCCCTACCTGTTTAATTTTGAGACATTTCTCAGCTTACTAATTTATGCCTTAGTGTCTCTATCTATAAAATGGGGACATAATAGTACTACTTGCCTTGTCTGGTTTCTTGTGATGTGATACAGGTTCCATGTGTACAGTGCTGACAGCAATACCAAACCCACAATGAGTTAGTGTCAACCTGTATGGTGGCCACCTTGTTCTTGTAATTCTTTGTGGTTGTATGTGTGGTCTTGGGCACTCACTGTTCCAGTCTGAGGTCCCATAGAAACAAGTAGAGGAGCCGTGCTCTGGGTCCCCCTCAGATCTTCCACGGATGTGGGTAGCTGAGCACTGTAATCTAGAGGTATGTCTGGACTCTGCCAGAGGTTGAGAGACTCTAAAGAGATTATGACACTATGCTAGAACTAAAGATGCCTTTAATCCTATGTAGATTGCCTTGCAATTGTTTTGTCATGGTCAAAGAAAACAAAAACCAAAACCTGTAAACACATCATCACTGTTTTCTTGAGGTTCTTCAGAATTAGTTTGTGACTTAGAAAAACACTCCAGTGGACCAACATGCATTCTGTGTAATAAGGATAATTCCTATTTTGTGAAACAATATTTCATTATGGATCCATGTACTGAATACTAGGTTACCATTCAGAACATATTTTTCATGGAGGCATACAATTCAGTGTCTGAATATTGTAATATTCAGGAATAATCTTTTTATGACATGTATCCCAGACTGGCCTCAAACTCACTATGCAGCTGAGGATACCCTTGAATTTATAGTCCTCCTGCCTCTACTTCCTGAGTGCTGGGATGACAGTGACTGGTGCAAGATAGGCAAGCACTCTACCAATTGAGCTACATTCCTACCTCCTTAGCAATATTGTTTTAATTTTTAATCAATTAATTAGAGATAGGATCTCTATGTAGACTAGCTGGCCTCAAAATCACAGACAGTTGTAAGCCACCATGTGGATGCTGGGAACTGAACCCGAGTCCTCTGGAAGAGCAGTCAGTGGGGGCTGGAGAGATGGCTCAGAGGTTAAGAGCACTGGCTGCTCTTCCAGAGGTCCTGAGTTCAATTCCCAACAACCACATGATGATTTACAACCACCCATTATAAGATCTGGTGCCCTCTTCTGGTGTGCAGATATACATGGAAGCAGAATGTTGTATACATAATAAATAAAATCTTAAAAAAAAAAAAATGGCGTGCGCCACCAACGCCTGGCTTTAAAAAAAAAAGAGCAGTCAGTTTTTGGTTTTTTGAGACAGGGTTTCTCTGTATTGCTTTGGAGGTTGTCCTGGAACTCGATCTGTAGACCAGGCTGGCCTCAAACTCACAGAGATCCACCTGCCTCTGCCTCCTGAGTGATGGTATTAAAGGCATATGCCGCCAACCCCCTCATCCCCCAAGATGATGTTTTTAAGATTGTTAGGGCTGCTAAGCTCCTTGTCTACTGGGCATTAGGACATGAACTTCCTTCTTGTGGTCACAGGGCTCCTTCATTTTTCTGCAGTAAGTGGAAAATGAACTGTTGGTCTCTGTAACCTCCAATGCTCCTCCACTCCCCTTCATTGCCCTACCTGGAGAAACCTTCCCAAGGGAACAGTCCTGCAGACCTTGAGTCTGGAGCGGGAAGAGTATCAGGTGATAGCTGAGCATACATTAGATTAGGGAAAGTCAGGAGAGGTCTACTATCTTCCTTGGTATACAAACAATGTGCAGGTATTTCTTCATGGTAGGGGCCTCAGGCTCATCACTAAAGTAAAATTTCTTTCGTGTCCTTGCCTCCTCCTTCAGGTCCATGAGTGCATACAGGTTGGGGCAGAATGAAGAATGGGTGTGTCAGCCATTGTTGGTGGGTTCAATTCTGTTGTGCTTTGCCTTTGATGGGAGCTCACCATGTCACCCAGGCTGCTCTCAAACAATCCATTCCCCTCAGCTTTCTAAGTAGCTGAGGCTATGGGCATGTGCTCCCACACCCAGGTTTATCTGTGGTTCTGCATGATCAAGTCATATGATCAAGTATGGGGCAAGCACCCTGAGTTAAAACTTGCTGTTACATGCTTGAAAGTCAAGTCAGAGCACACATGTACAGTGATACTAAAGGCTTGCCTGCCAACTGAGCTCCATGGGAGGGTGTTTATAAAGCCAACATACAGATGGGAAATGCCTACCTTCGTGCCTGCCCATTGTAGTAGTGTAATTCTCGTGGGTGGACAAGGGGATGTCCCTATGGTCCTGGAAACTCCCTAAGCTGGTGTCTGGGATAGCATTCCTGACAGCCAAGTTGGATTCTTACTTAAGACCAGAGTAGTATAGATGGACAATGAGAACAGAGCCACATATCAGATATCCTGCATATCAGATATTTAAATTATGATTCATAGCAGTAGCAAAATTACCATTATGAAGCAGCAATGAAAATTTTTGGTTGGGGCTCAACACAGCATGAAGAACTGTATTAAGAGGTTGCAGCATTAGAAAGGTTGAGAACCACAGCGCTAGAGATTCTGTTGTTGTTGTTGTTTTAAACTGACTGACTCATTCATAGACATAGATGGATGTATAATTAAATAACAGAACTAATGAGTGTAGCTACTTTTAAAAAATAAATAGAAAATACTGTCAGCTTTAAGATTCCTAGAAGTCAGTGTTCTACATGCAACTCCAGACTCCCACAGTTAAAGCAAAATCTCATCTCTGGGCCTGAAGATGTAGTTTAGTGATATAATAATTGCCTAGTGTGCATAAGTATTAGAAATCAACTGCAGACAACCTGCTCTGCCCAATACCGTCGTCACTCAATGAAAATATTATTTGCAATCCTCAATTAGCATCTGGCCATGTTGGTCTGAAATTTTTCATTTAAGCAAAGCAGTGCTGTTGTTGGACCATTTATCTCAGTAATGACTCCGCTCTGCCTTCTTTGTACAGGACGCAACGGTAAAGGAAGAAGTATTATCGGCAGATTGAACACCCCTCCTCCAATCTCTGGGGAAGGAGTTACAGTAGAACCAGGCTTTTCCATTGATGAGTTCTCTACATCGGTTCTCACTGGGAAGATGACTACTGTCTTTCTTCCGGTCATTTACACCATTGTCTTTGTGATTGGTTTGCCTAGCAATGGCATGGCCCTCTGGGTCTTCCTTTTCCGGACGAAGAAAAAGCACCCTGCTGTGATTTACATGGCCAATCTGGCCTTGGCAGACCTCCTCTCTGTCATCTGGTTCCCCTTGAAGATTGCCTACCACCTACATGGCAACAACTGGATCTATGGGGGTGCGTTTTGCAAGGTGCTCATTGGCTTTTTCTATGGCAACATGTACTGCTCCATCCTCTTCATGACCTGCCTCAGCGTGCAGAGGTACTGGGTGATAGTGAACCCCATGGGACACTCCAGAAAGAAGACCAACATTGCCATTGGTGTCTCCCTGGCAATCTGGCTCCTGATTTTTCTGGTCACCATCCCCTTGTATGTCATGAAGCAGACCATCTACATTCCAGCCTTGAATATCACCACCTGTCATGACGTGCTGCCTGAGGAGGTATTGGTGGGGGACATGTTCAATTACTTCCTCTCCCTGGCCATTGGAGTCTTTCTGTTCCCAGCCTTACTTACTGCATCTGCCTACGTACTCATGATCAAAACACTGCGTTCTTCTGCCATGGATGAACACTCCGAGAAGAAAAGGCAGAGGGCTATCCGACTCATTGTCACTGTCCTGGCCATGTACTTCATCTGCTTCACTCCTAGCAACCTCCTGCTTGTGGTGCATTATTTCCTAATTAAAAGCCAAGGCCAGAGTCACGTCTATGCCCTCTACCTTGTCGCCCTCTGCCTGTCGACCCTCAACAGCTGCATTGACCCGTTTGTCTATTACTTTGTTTCACAAGATTTCAGGGATCATGCCAAAAACGCACTCCTCTGTCGAAGCGTCCGTACAGTGAAACGCATGCAGGTATCCCTCACCTCCAACAAGTTCTCCAGGAAATCCAGCTCTTACTCTTCAAGTTCAACCAGTGTTAAAACCTCCTATTGAGCGGTACCTGAGGGTGCCAAGTCTGCTTAACGGTGTGTGTGTGTACAAGGGGTGGGGATGCAACGACACAGGGCTGTCATTTTCTAACCAAGCTGGTCTCAGCACTGATCAAAAGCATGGACATCCGTATCAGAATTCTGCTACTCTGATGTCCTGGAAACTGAATGAACTGAGAGTAGCACATTTTGTGGAGGTGACGAGAAGGCAGAAATCCAGTGACTTGCAACAGCTACACCCGGCAAGAAGACTAAGTTCCTAGCTGAAGCGATTTCTTCTGCGACTGGCCCATCACAGCCTTGTGAGGACTGAGACCCTCGTAGAGCTTCAGTCTAGTTGACTGACTCTTCAGATGTGGAAGGTGAGGAGACTGTGAATGAATTTCCTCTCCAGAATTCTAACCAGCAACAGTGAGTTTGTACTGGACAATAGAATCCAAATGCTCGTGGTTACAGTCTGGCACCATTTCATCAGAAGCCCTGGGCTTCAGTAACCAGAACTCAGATACCAGGGGGCTGCTCTGCAAACCTCAATGATGTCTGCATGCACAGAACCATGGAGCCGAATGCTGCTTCTGCCCACCAGGACACCATAGTAACATTTGAAAAGGAAAACCAATAGCAGTGTTTTGGGCCTCTCTATGGTCAGTTTGTTATGCAGTTTGTCTATTGGTTTATTGGGATTTTCGGCTCCTTTATTACTCCTTTGTGGTTTTGTATGTCTATTAGTCGAGAAAAAGGGAATGAGGATATTGAACATGTAAATACAAACTTTGTATAATTTTTTTTACTGTGGGCAACAGTATTTTGCCAACTGCAAAATGACATTTACCACTTAGTGTTTTTTATTTTCAAAGTTACTTTTTTAAACTCTATGATGCAAACTTAAGACATTTTCATGATAATACATCATTATAGTACCAGTTCCCCTCCCCATCAGTCATATTCCCTCCCCCACCTCCTTTCCCCTCCCCTATTTTTCCTCCCTCTCCACCAAATAGCCCTCTGCCTGCTCTCAGGTACAACTTAGTTTTTTGTTGCTGTTGTTGTTTGCTTGTTTTGTTTTTCATGACAGGGTTTCCTCTGTGGCTTTGGAGGCTGTCCTGGAACTAGCCCTTGTAGACCAGGCTGGCCTCGAACTCACAGAGATCCGCCTGCCTCTGCCTCCCGAGTACTGGGATTAAAGGCATGCACCACCAACGCCTGGCACCACTTTGTATTTTTTAAAAACTATTGTTGGAATATTTATTGTCAGTTTTATTCACCTGTTATCAAATATGGAAATAAAGTCTGCACACCTGTTTGGAGAGGCTACAACCATTGCAGAGATACATGACTCCAGACTTACGTTATAGACTGGCTGTATTTGTGGCTTTAAAAATTATTTTGTTGTATGACTGATTTATAATTAATACAGGGGCTTTTTAAAAAACAACTTCTTTCAGGCTGTGTGTTTATTTGTGTGAAGGAGGGAGAAGAAGGGAAAATCCTGCCATTCTAGACAGGGTGTGTTGCTCCCCCCCCAAATACACACACACACACACACACACACACACATACAAATACACACATACACTCACACACACACCTTTTTTTTTTAACAGTTGTTTTTGTTCTTTTGAGACAGGTTTCTGAGTTATAGCCAGGGCTATAACTCACTCTGTAAACCAGGTCACCTGCCTCTGCCTCCCAAGTGCTAGGATTAATCGTTACCACTACCCACTTTTTTTTTTTTTTTAATACACCCTTAGGGGTCTAAACCTGGCTTCACATTATTTTTTAAATAAACATAAAAATGGAGTTCATGTTGCTCTGCAATGCCTACTTTTCATTAATTAATATATTTTAACTTTCCCATGTATTTCTACAACTTGACCTCCATTTTTAAAGCTTATAGACTAATAGTTCAGATGTATTACAATTATATAGTCATTTCCCTACTGGGTGGCCCCTTGAATTATGCTATCCCATGTTATTTTTTTTTTCTTTTTGGCTATTTCAATATTATTGCATTGTACATTTGTGTATAGATATCATCGAGATTCACTTTGCTTTTATTGAGACAGGGAACTTTTATTAAGCCCTGGAACTTGTTATGTAAACCATGTTTGCCCCTAAACTCACAGATCCACATACCTCTGCCTCTGGAGTGCTGGGATTGAAGGTGTGTGCCACCGCTGCTAGGCAGTTTTGCTTCTTTTGCCCCTGAGGAGTATCTTAAGCATCTAGTTTTGAATCAGACCTTGGTGGAGACAGAGGGCGCTGTGCCTTGAGCAGAGACACATTGGATATGGCTATCTTTGCTTTTGTGGGCAGTACTGTACCATCTGATTTGTATGAAGGATCTGAATCTTACCTAATAATGAACATTCTGCTCTCCCCTGGTTCATTTACTAAGAGGGGCCCTTAATTTGAAAGCAAATGTGGACTTGTCTTGTTGTTCAGACCAAAATGTGAAGCTGACTTCACTGGAGTGATTTTCCCGAACATTTCCTTTTATTAGCTATTTGTAGCAGGAGTTTTGAAGTTGTAATTAATTTCCTGGTTATCAAGATTTCATAAACCCTGGGATTATAATCTCATCTGCATGCATACTTCAGTGATTATAACTTTATTTCAGAAGCTTTAACCCTTTGAGCAGTTCTGGAAAGAAGTAGAATATATTAGAGTCAAGGGTTGTCATTGTTAGCCCTTGAGTTTGGCTGGAGAGCTTGACTGTCTTTTAGAAGTGAAGTTCTGGCTGGGTGTGGTGATGCACACCTTTAATCCCATCACTTGGGAGATACAGGCTGGCAGATCTCTGTGAGTTCAAGGCTAGTCAGCCTGGTCTACAAAGAGAGTTCCAGGACAACCAGGGCTACATACAGAGAAACCCTGTCTCAAAAGAACAAAAACAAAACAAAACAAAAAAAGAAGTGAAGTTCTAGAATCTATCTGAGTGGAAGGCAGGTATCCAGTGCCCCCTGAACCGCAGGTCTAAAGGGGAAAAATCCCTAGAGATCAGGAATCAAGACCTTCGATGTCACTCAAGCCTGGAGATCTCACAGAGATGGCTCTTACACAGATCTATATAAAGTGAGGTCACTGGATGCATACCCAAGAAGTGCTATTAACGAGGGCAGTGTGGAGGCTCCTGTGGTTTGGGTCTGAGCTACTCATGTCTCTCCCTTTTGAAAAATCTGGATTATTTCCAGTCCTTTTTTTTTTTTTTTTCTGGAGAGAGTTTATTCTTGGCCAGAGTCGTGAGACAACTTACGTAAAAACCACAGAAAGCCTGCGGGCTCCCTCCAGAGCTGCAGGCAAATCATCTTCACCTAGCAGCAGTGGGAGTAGTTCATTTGTCCCACAAACATGAGGCATCACCACAGTATTAACTGCAAACCATTAAGTCATGACTCCTACCTGAGCATCACAGCTCAGTCATGAGGCTGATATTCTCAGCAAATACAAGAATACTGAAAAGAAGGGCTAGAGATAGCTCTAGGCTTAGAGGTGCAAAGTGCTTCGGTCTTGGTTCCCAACACCAACACTGGGTGACTCAAAACCACTGGCAAGGCCAGATCCTGGCAATCTAATGCCCTCTTTTGCACTAGCATACACACACAGTCACATAAAATTTCATTCAGACACAAACATGCACATAATTTTAAAAAAGAATTCAGTTCTTTGGAATTTAGGCCTTTAAAAATCCCACTCCAAAGCTGAGGTTTCAGAAAGGTGGTAACTCAAGAAAACAAAAAGATCTGGGCAGTGGTGGTGTATATCTTTAATCCTAGCAGAAGCAGGCAGATCTCTGGTCTACAGAGTTGAGTTCCAGGATACTCAGGACTACATAGTGAGACCCTGTCTGGAAAACAAAACCAGACAAAACAAGAATTAAACCAAGAGAGACAAGTAGAGGCTGGAGAGATGCAGAGGATCTGGGTTAGGTTCCCAGCACCTATATCAGGTGGCTCACGAGTACATATAATTCCAATTCCAGGTGATCTAGTGTTCTCTACTGGCCTCCATGGGCACTGCAAAAATATGGAACACACTCAGACAAGTGGGCATACACATACATATATAAAAAGAAACAAGCAAACAAACAAAAACAGGACTATGGAGGGTATGTAAATTTCTCGGGTTGTAGAGTTATGCCAGTGCTGGAAATTGAGTCTTGTGAATGAGTGGGGAAGCTTGGCTTCCATTCTTGGTGAGACAGCATGCAGTTATTTTATTGCTCATTTAAAAGGTTACCATGGGGGCTGTGGTGTTTGTTTGGTGGTGGTGGTTTGTTTTTGGGAACAGGGTTTCTCTGAAAACAGCTCTGGCTGTCCTGGGACTTACTTTGTAGATCAGGCTGGCCTTGAACTCATGGAGATCCCCTCTTCCTCCTGAATGCTGTGATTGAAGGTGTGTCCCTGCCCCCACTCCCAGAAGTTATGTGGGTTTTGGTTTGTCAACAAAAGGCAAGAGAGAACAGTTAAGAGTGATCCAAGCAAGAGTTGATGTTGGCTGGAATATGGGTAGTCACAAAGATGGAAAGGAAGGAAGCCAACTGGGCTACATTTTGGAGATATTATCAACTGATATTAAGAAAGGAGGATTAAAGAGTGTATTTAATTTTTTTGCTTGGAGATGGTGGTGAAGTACTTGGGTGTGAGCAAGTTTGGAAGTTGAAAATTAAGTGTTTTGTTTTGATCATAGCATAGTCTTAAATATCTTGGTCAGCTTTCTGTTGCCATAACAAAATACTTGAGGCACTGTGCTTTATAAAGAAAAAAGTTTTACTTAGCTCAAAGTTCTGGAGGCCAAAAATCCTAGATCAGTCAGTTCAATTGATTCAGCCTCTGATAAGGGCCCATGGTGGATGGTGCCATAATGGCAAGGGGGTATACAAAGAGATGGTAAGATAAGAAAACCGAGATTCAGGGACCAGACCCCCTGTTTCTATAGCAAATTACTCTTGTGGGCACTAACCATTGTCCCATGAGAACTGTATTAATCCTTTCTGAAGATGACGCCCTCAATAACCTGATCACCTTCTACTTGGCTCTTACATCTCAAAGGTTCCACTACTCTCCAGCCTGAACCTCAGGCACCCAAACCGCCAGGGGGACATACTCAACCATATTCTAGCCTCAGTACCAAGTCTGAGACGTCTACAGACATCCAAGCAGAAGAGGCGAGAAAGGCATTTGGAATCAGTCTAGATTTTTTTCTTAATTAAAAAAGATTTCTTTATTTAAAATTTTTACTTATATGAGTGTTTGGCCTGCATGTCTCAGTGTGTACCGCATATGTACAGTGCCCAAAGAGGCCCGAAGTATACTGAAGTTACATATGGTTGTGATCTGCCATGTGGGTGCTGGGAACTGAAGTCAAAACAGTAACAGCAAGTGCTTTTAGCCACTGAGCCCTCTCTCCAGCTCCCCAGAATAATGTCTAAGCAGTAGTCAGGGATGGAGCTATAGTTTGGCCATTTCGATAGCATTTAAACAAAGTTTCTAGGCAGTACTTAAAGGAGAGCATGTGAAGCGATTACTTATATTGTTCTATTATTAAATAAAACTCGGGAGCTAGATATCAGGGTAAAAACCTGATCAGAGAAGCAGCTGAAAAGTGACCAGTAATTTTTCTCTCTCCTTCCTTGGTCCAAAAGGGCCCACTAATTTTTTAAGCCCCTCCCCCCTACTACTTCCTGTGTCACTGTATATGTCCTGGGTCCTCCAAAACCTCTATGGCTAATTCTGGCCAGCTAGTAGCTAGCTCCGTACTCTGATTCAAGGTAAGCTTTATTGTCAAGTCTCAGGATTGTCAGAATGTGATCAAAATACCCCACAGCAAGCCTGTGGATGAGAAGGGTGCTTAGGACAGAGGTCTTTTTATTATTATTATTATTATTATCCTGTGCTGGGCCTAGGCCTCTCCCCATGTGTTCAGAGACAGAGCGCATCACTTCAAGTGGGATGGGCTCTCGAAGTCCCCCACACACACCAGGGCAAAACGCCAGTCACCTCCGGAGGCTCCCAGGAGTGCAAGGGCCTCCCCATTGGCATCCATGATCAGGGGGCTGGATTAGTCCTGTACTGGCTTCCGAAAGAGTGTCTGGGGTCGATATGCTTTCCCTTTTTCAGGCCAACTGTTTCTGTGGGTTTCTCCAACCTGGTACAGACCCCTTCGTTCTTCATTCCTCCCTCTCTTCAACTAGGTTCCAGATTTCAGCTCAGTGTATTTCTGTGGATGTCTGTCTCTGCTTCCATCAGCCACTGAATGAGGACTCTGGTCTGGTCTGTGATGAGTCCTAGGACAGAGGTCTTTAACACATCATTTTGAGCAGAAGAGGGGGGCCAATAAAAGAGACTGAAATGGAATGTCTTAGGATTTTTATTGCTGTGAAGAGACAAAACCAACCATGGCAACTCTTATAAAGAAAACATTTAATTGGGGTGG